TCACGGGCAAGCCAGGGGCCGCCCGAGCACTGGGGAGGAGGACAGCCCCCCTCTCCTGGAGAGAAGGCTTCCTCCCCAGCCCGCAGCAGGTGGACGCCAACCTGCGTCCCTGGGCTCCTGCCTGACAAGGCCAGGAAGAGGTGCATCAGGACAGTGACCAGGGGACGGCCCTTGGGCTCCGATGGCCAAGATCAGGCGGGTGGGGAAGGAGATGGGGCGGCCCCCAGTGGGGGTGCTTAGCCCTGGGGAGAGCCCTGCCCCCAGCCCCCCCCCATTTTCTCCAGCCTGGGACTCTCAAGTTCAAGGACAGAGCAGAGGAGATGAGAGGTGGCTCCGACGTGCGGTGCTTGTGGGCACACGCCAGGCCCTGGGTTCAGTCCCCCCAGAGGAAAAATGTAGATAGTGCCACAGGCCCGTTGGCCTGGGCTGCCCCTCAGGCTCCCATTGCCACCCAGGCTGGCCGTCTGGAGGGCCTGTGTCACCGTCCTCAGAGCTCGCCCACTGGATCCTGGGGACCTGGCGATGTCTCGGGGCTTTCTCGGGCTCTCCCGGGCCTGTCCCCCTTTCTCCCCTCCCCAGCCCAAGTGCTAAGGAGGCTGCAGAGGGTAGAAACCTGCACTCAGCCTGGCCCCGGTCTCTTCCCACCTGCACCCCCAGACCTCTCAACCCCGTGAGGAGGCTGCTCCGAAGGCCAAAAACCTCAGCTGTCAGCTGTGCATCCTCAGGGAAATTACCCTCCCTTCCTGAGCCTGAGTTTCCTCCTCCGGGGGCTGCAGACCATCCTGCTGCCCACCTCGGGACTGTCAAGAGCCGTGGTGGATGAGCACCCCAACGGCCTAATGCGGCCCACACCCCCGTGCGCAGCCAGCCCCCGCCAGCCTGGGCTATGTGATTCTCCTTTTCACCCGGATGATTTCAGCAGCTTTCTCTCAGGGTGACAGGCTTCTCCCCGCTGTGCCCCTGGCTCTTTGTGATCATCCTGACCACAGCCAGCGTGTTAAACATTAAGTGAGAGCCGGTCCTCCTCTGCCCTGGAATGGGGCTGTGGGCTCCAGAGAGAACACTGAAGCTCTCACCCCAAGTCCTGGGTGCCCCCCTGATCCCGCTTGGCGGCAGCCACAATGGCCACCCACCCAGCTGATCTTTAAATGCCCAAATCTATTTCTGGGTCGTGGCAGGTGAGGCCCCACCCCAGGGCCTTTGCACTTGCGGTCTCCACCCTGGACCCTCAGGGGCACCCTGCCAGCTGCTCTTCCCTGTGGCTCCTGCCCTGCTGACCGGCTCCTGGGTACTCCTGAGAGCATGGCTGCTGTCCAGCTCATAGTGCACCACCAATAAATTCTCTGTTAAGTAAATCAGCAAGAACTTCGGCCACTTGAAAATATTTATTTTTTTCCTTTTTCTGTGTGTGTGTGTGTGGGGGGGGATGGAACCAAGGCAGCTGCGCTCGGCTCCGCCACTGAGCCCCAGCCCCAGCCCCAGGTTCCTCTTTCAAAGTGCCAGCCATTGGGAGCCAGGCCTCAGATCTCTGCAGCAGCCGGACCCCTCTGCCTGGGTCAGTCCCTCGCTGTAAGTGGCGGCTGTCCCTCCCTGTGTCCTCCAGGCCAGGGACACATAGCACCTTGGAGGGGGAGAGGAGGTAGCTTGGGAGTGCGCCAGGGCAGGGTCAGGAGGCACGCGGGCAGCCACCTCTGCACCAGACTAGGGAGTCTCCGGGACTCCCTCAGAGGCCACCGCTGTGCAATGCCAGGTCTGAACCCAGACGTCGGGGGCGGGGCTGCAGGCCGGGGACCTGAGCGTCTAGGTGAGTCCCGCTCCTCCTGCAGCTGCGCAGGAGAGCGGCCCAGGGCTGCCGAGTGTGACGGCCCTGGCTGAGCTCCCACCTGGCGGCCACCGCCGTCTGCTGCCGCCCTGTAATTATTTACTGACCCCCGTCGCGTGTATCGTTCATTGCCTCCTCTGCCCTTCCGGCTTTGGTCCCTTCTGCTGTCACCGCTGGAGTAGCCTCGTCAGCCTCGCCACCCTCCTGTGGCTCCATCGCACCCCGGGGCAGGGCTGGGGTCTCTTGGAGAAGTGCCCTTCAGAACAGAGAGGGATCGGTGTCACCCAGGAATGGCTCTTGAGTGCCAACTTCTGCCGCCAGGTTCCGCACGGGGCGCCTTGTTCTTCCCCCAGCCCCCCCCCTCTATTTTTGCATTTCTCTGGAAGACTTTGTCCCCGAGGTCCAAGTTTACTGGGAACCCTGCAGGTCTTTTAAAGGTGTGTCTCAGCCACGACGTTGGTTAGGTCTTGATTCTTGATCACATTCAGATTGCGAGAGGACCTGAGTTCCCGCATCAGGACACGGGTGGCCCCAAAGGGGTCGCTGTACTTATCAGCCTGCGGTTACCAAAATCAGCCGTGTGCCTCCTGGAACCTGTGTCTCTGTACACGTAGCCAGTGTTTTGCTGTAGGTAAAATAAGGGGCAGACGAGACAGAAGTTTAAGAGCTTCAACGACATTAAGGAAGCAAACAAAATAGTTTGGCAAAGGCAGAGCAGGGCTGTGATGTGTTCCCGACTCCAAAAATCCCAAGGGAGTCAGTCCGGTTTCCGTCTAGCCCCCTCTCCATCCTTCCTAGTACAAAATGGCTGCTAGAGTTCTGGTCCTCACCTCTGGGCTCCAGACAGCAAGATGGGGGAAGAGAAGAAGGGCGTGGGCCTGGGCAGGGATTGCAGTTCCTCTGGGGGTCAGTGGGGGAGCCTAGGTTCGAGAAGGCAAGAAGGATTACTATTGCCACATGGGCATAAAGACGTGTGTAGACAGGTCTTCCAGAATATTCCTGATAAGCCAGAAGCCCTGAAGTTTGAAGGCCCGCCCCTGACTTGTGGCTGACAGCGGAGGATCCTCTCAAACTCAGCGGATCCAAATCACGGGTCGGCTGACCACCCTGAGCTGGGTCATGGGCAGGGCCCTCCACCCTCAACCTGCCGGGTCACAAGACAACCGACTGGGGCGACCGACTCCGGGCGTCTGTCTGAGTCACCAGAGCAAGACCATCAACACAGACGCCGCGGGGCTCGGGGGACTGGGGAGGCTGGGCAGCCAGATGTGCTTTTCTGGGGCAGGATCTTGCAGGAAGCCGGGATGACAGAGGGTGGCCAGGCTGGGAAGGACAGCAGGGACAGGCGGGGTGGCCTGGGGCCTCTCTCTCTCCTGGGTCCACTTGGCAGACAGGTGCCAGGCCCAGCCTGTGCTTCTGCGCCCGCTTCCTGCCTGGGAGAACACAGCTTAGTGACCTGTGGGGGGCCCGAGGCCCCCAGGAGGGAGGCCACAGAGCAGGCTGGAAGCAGCTCTGGTAGCCTCTGGGCCTCTGGGACCCAGGAGAGGGGCTGCCAGAGCCTTGGGGGTTCCGGGGTGAGGCGTGGTCACTGGGACAAGGCTACTGGAAGGAGGGGTTCAGGCCGAGCTTGCTCCAGATCCCATGTCCCACCTCAGAGCCCCTCCAGGGAACGTTATCCTGTTTTACTTTTAACGACCATGGGCTAATTTTCATGTAAATTCAAAGAAAACAGCTCTTGTCACCAAACCCGGGATTTCTCAGCAGTAGTAGCTACTCTTAGCGCATGCCCAGAGTGTGCCAGGCACGAACTCACTGATGCGTCTGCATCTCATTGAAAACCACAAGAGGGCAGGTGAGGGCGATGAGGCCCAGAGAGGCAGAGTCAGCTACCTAAGGCCACCCAGCCAGGAAGTAACAGGAGCTGAGGTCAAGTCCAGGCAGCGGCTGCAGAACCTCATTCCTGAGCTCTCTAATATTTGGGCTCAGACTAAGGTTAGATTGAAGGGTGTTCCTAAGAGTTCCAGTGGGGTGATGCTGGGTGGGCAGGTGGTACACAGATAGCAGCACACGGGTGCTGGGGGCTGGCA